AGCTGAAACACCACCCGCCGCCAGTTACTCCAACAAGCTGCTCCAGCAATAACATTAGCATGCTAACGCACATAGCGGTGCTGTGAGGAAAAGTGTCCCCCGGGAAACAGTTCACTGRTGGCCGCGACGAAACGTTCCCAACRTGTTCAGGCTATTTAAACCAGTAYGTCCGGTATTCYGAAAATTTATATCATAACAAAAATAAAAACTGGTTTTCGGGAYAAAATAGTATAYCGCCCAGCACTACTTTAAGCTGYAACAAAAACCAAGTCTTTAACATCTTTAAACGAGAAAGTAGAACTCTGATACAGAGATGCTTTCAATAATATTGATGATACTTTCTAAGCTGAACCTGCCATGCCTCATCACCTCTGTCTGAACACATTACAGAAATCTGAGCAAAGACCCTATAAAGGAACCCCATGGGGGGTGCCAGTGTTGACAGTTTGAGAAAAGGTCCAGATGACTGATGGAAGGCAGATACCACTCCTGGCCTTTGGCTGAACTTATCGAAGCTTTGCGTGTTCTAACACCCCCCAGTCAGAGGGACCCCTCACATAGACAGTCAGATGTTATCTTATTCGGCACTTTAGGATATGAAAGAAGTGGCAGATTTATACCTGAATCTGTGCCAGTTTAGTGCTTTCGTGCATTGCAGTAAGAAAAAAAACAAACAAACAAACAGTGGAATTATTGTCCTGGACAGCACAAATCATGCAGCAGCATGTTTGCGTCTCTTCCCTCCGCTCATGTCATTAATTTTGAATCGCAAACGGCCAAGGTTGARGACTCCTGCTTTTGTTCCCTTCATCAGAACCAGCAGCATTTACAGACCGAGCTTGTTGCCAAGTTGAATTAACAAGATTATTGGCCGCAAACCAGAAGACGTGTTTACGTACGTTCTTTTGAACTTGGACACACATTGTCGGATTCAGTGGGGATTATGCAATACACTTAAGACTTCCTGCCATAAAAAGCTTATTGCTTTTGACTACAAATGCAGGCATGTGGAAACGGAGCAGGCGTGTGTGGGTCAGGAGCACATGTTTCTGTTTATGTTCACGAGCACTTCGGTTWACAGCCGTCAGCTCTTCAACGGGGGTTTAGCCTCTGGGCCTTGAAGTAAGAAGTGTTTTTCTTCCCCGTGTCGTGAAACCAAACCCTGACTGTTACCTTGAAATATTRGTGGTTAATTTGTGTTAGGTAGCGACACAATACAGCTGGATGCAGTGGTTCTGAATGGATGGAATGCAGTAAGCTGATTCAGACGGGGAGTGAGCGCTGCTGCAGTCACTGACCCCATGGCTGTCCAACAAAGAGCTGTTTGATGTTGTTTTTCTTTCTTGCAATACTGTGTAAAAAGTGTTTTTGGATTTTTTTGTCAGATATGATTTCAAAGTAGAGGAGACTCTTCCTGTCATATTTTACAGAACATGAAGGCAGTGTCCCTTTTAAGTCTCTGTGTTTTCTAATTTATATTTCATTAAAGTAAAAACAAAAATCCTCCCCGAGGGAAACTGGATTTGGCAAAAGCTAAACTGGATTCTTCAAAGATCATTCATGTCTTTCTAAATCAACAGAACTTTCATTTCTTTGTGARATCCAAAGTGAATGTGTTCTGTATAATGTAAGACGATGACTTCGGTCTAGACATGAAGGAATTTTTTTTTTTGGTCAAATGGAAGGAAGTGAATGGAGTAAAATAAAGCCAACCAGCATTATGTGATTGTTTGTGAAACAATGTGAAAAGCATTCCACTGAAAACAACAAAGCTAACACATTCCTCTTTAATTGAATACCATCATATGACCCTGTAGGTTCAAAAGCACGTTCAGATCCAGACTTTTCCGGCTCTACCCACYGAGGAACATGTTTAAAAAAGCATTTCTGAAAATTGTATTGCTATTTTTGTAAAAGGTCGGGGCAGTTTGTTGGTATTTTTTGACTTTCTAGACCAGATCTATGGCTGAATAGTTTAAAATTGATGTCAAAATATCCCTAAATATAAGTTTTTAAAAAAATTTGTGCTGTTCTTCAGCATTGCATCTAAACAAGTAGGCAATGATCAATGTTCCTAACCCCTCTCCAGTCACTGTTAAACTCTTATTTTTGTCACAGTTGCACACTAATCTCATAACGTTTGATCTCTTCAGACTTCACATCTCAAATCACACCATCCATAGATTGTTTATGAAGATTAACGAAGTCATCATTTGCTGCTGGCAGAAACTGCCGCTGCAGCAGAAAACAATGTAAAAACAGTCACAACAGCAAATCAGCGCTGCACATGTAACACATGCGGTAAAAGCGCTGGTGTGAAGCCAGATTTACCTCCCAAGTTTCCACATATCTGTGTGACCGTTTGTGCCAAGTTCATTCATTCCTATGAGAACTGCCATTGCTCAAATCGTTTAACTCAGAATGAACTGTGAGAAGAAAAAACAACCATTTTGACATGTTAAATATAGAGTCGATAGCTTACATTTAGTTGTCAAGGTTTATGTTCACACTTCACTTGACTGTTCCTCCCAATCATGCCTCTCCAGGTCACACTCTTGTTACCCACATGGGCATTGAAGTCCCCCAGCAGAATAAAGGAATCCCCAGCTGGAGTACCTTCCAACACCCCCGGTAAGGACTCCAAGAAGGCTGGGTACTCTGAGCAGTCTTTTGGTCTTTTGGTGCATAAGCACAAATGACTGTCAGAGCCTGTCCCCCCACCCAAAGGTGCAGGGAAGCTACCCTCTTATCCACCGGGGTAAACTCCAACACACAGGCACCAAGTCGAGGGGCCAAAAGTAGACCCACAGCAGCTCAGCACCTCTCWCCATGGGCAACTCCAGAATAGAATAAAGTCTTGCCCATCTCGAGGAAATCGATTCCGGAGCCAATGCTGTGCGTTGAGGTGAGCCCAACTAAATCAAGCTGGTACCTCTCAACCTCACGCACAAGCTCAGACTTCTTCCCCACCAGAGARGTGATATTCCTTGTCCCAAGAGCCAGTTTTGGTAGGCCAGGGTCAGAGGGCCAAGGTCCCCGCCTTTGGCTACTGCCCGTGGAATCATGCACCCAACTCGTATGGCCCCTCCTGAAGGTGGTAGGCCCACAGGAAGGCAAACCCAAATAGCTCATTCGGGCTGTGCCCGGCCAGGGCCCATGGGTAGAGACTTAGCCAMCAGGTGCTCGCCGACAAGCCCCTCCCCCAGRCCTGGCTCCAGGGTGGGGCTCCGGCAACCCACGTCCAGGCAAGGGACACCGAGTTCCTTGATTTATTTGGTCCATAAGAGYCTGTTGAATCATTCTTTGTCTGGCCCATCAACTAGGACCAATGGGTCTTAGGTGACAGTCCAATGGGAGACCCTACCAGGGGAAATTAAAATTGCCCATGACAGCAGAGCTCCTAGGATCATTCAGGTGCATAAACTCCACCATGATAAGGTGRWGATTCATCTTCAGGTCTTAATGCTCAATTCTGMTTTTTTTATTGTKTTGTGGGGACATTCACATTATATTTTAAATGTGGCCTCCTTCAGACTCTAATATGAACCCCTCACATCCCTGATTTGACCTGCATGCACTGAAAATGACGTGAAATCACATTCGTGCTCACGGTTTACGGAAATAAATATGGATGCTACACATTAGCATGTCGATTCTGATGTTGTACAGATGATTAAATTATTATTGGATATGTTTGTATTGTTCAGTGCCTCTGGCCGGTTGGTACGGTACGGCCTWTTAAGACTTCCCCCTTTTTTCACAGAAGGTTCTGTTCAGTTTGGGACTTTAGGTAGGCCTTTTTTAATGTTTCGCTCAAGCTTCACACATTTGTTTTACACTTATAATCAGACATACAATATCCTGTTCACAAGCTGTCCCCCAGAAGGGAACAATGGCAAAAAATGGCTTAATTTCATTGTATGAAAAAAAAATCAGTGCTTCTTTTCTTTACTGTTTTGCAGAGACAAATTGAGACAAACACTGTTGGTCTACTGTTGGCCTCCTCATTAACATAAAACAACATACTGATTTTCATCAGGTCCAGGTTCCTCAGAGTCTGAAAGCTGATAGAATCACACAGCCAGACCAGATAACTCTACAAGTCACAGCTGTGCAAACACAGCTGAAAGAAACACTCTGGAAATTTAATCTTCTAATTGTTTTGGCTTTCACACCAGCAGACTAAAGAGATCTTTATATTTTCTAGAGGAGGYGAAATGCTTGTAGGAATAAATGGATCTGTAATGGGCCAGGCTCTGACAGTTATTCAGCAGCAGCTTTCTTTTATTGGACGGAGCAGGCGTCKTCGTTTCACTGCTGGTGTTCAGTTTAAATCTGGAGATGTTTATGTTCATGCTTGACTTGAGATGCATTCATGTCCTGTTCTCTCGCATTACTTAGTGAAAGGTTGAAACCTCAGCTGAAGGTTTGGGTTTGTTTAGTTTTATAAACTTTGCTGCAGAAGCAGCTCATGGATATTTGCAGCGTTGGTTTTAATACCTTCAAACTAAACTTTATATATTGAAAAAAAAAGATTGGCTGAACTCATAACGGYTGCAATGAGATGATTTCGACAGAACAAGCAGCAGATGAAGCAGATGTGATGAGGAGCAGTTATGTGTGTCGGACTGGGAAACGTTTGATGTGCTGCTATGATAGAACAYGCATGGTCTCTTCCTCGGTGTCTGAGCGACTATTACCCAATAAATCCCTGTCACAGCATATTAGCTGTTTGGTTGGAATGATTGCAGCTTATGTCAAGCTTGTTAGTGTTTAGCACCCGTTACTCAGAGAGGGGCTTCACGTACAGCAGGATGTTTGTTCACCTTTCCTAACAATTTTCTTAAGTTGGTTTCTGCGAAGAAAAAAAACGTAAAAAGGCTGCAGCACCTTTTTTTTTTTTTGTTTTGGTTTTTGATGATAGACTGTGTTTAAACTCCACATTTAGAAGATAAAAGATCTAACCTGAAACCCTCTCTTTCCTCGTCTTCACTCCGCAGGCTGTCACAGGAAGATGTTTCGGTGACAAGGATTTCCGAGGAGGTCTACAGAATGGGATACTGCTGTGCGAGTAAGTTACACCCAGCATGCTCTCCCAGAAAAGGATGCTAACTTTTTCTTTGTTTTTTATCTTTATTTTTTTTTCAAGGAAAAAAATGGTCATATATATATATATTTTTTTATTTATTTACGTGAATAATATAAAAAAAAACGGAACAGACGCAGCATTCTCATTTCAAGCACTCTTCCCACACGTATAGCACTGAGAACACCCTTCTCCCTGGGCTACTTTAAACGTATTTTTSGAAATGTATAGCACAGGAAGTCTCTAACTAGAGTAGGATGACATTAGATGGGCTCGGTATTCACTACAAAAAAAGGTCACTTCATCTCATATAGAATGCTGGAATGACATGAACATCACAGGACTGCTGATATCGAATACGGTGTATCGAAGAGTGGGTTTTCCCTCTACAAGGCAGCGTCATTACAGTGCTTCCTCTGATGAAAACATGCACAAAAGATGAAATKTGAGACTGAGAGGGGAAGAGAGGGAAATCTGGGAACTTTGGGACTTCTCGTTCACGTCCGTTTGACAAATGGTTGGAATTAAACATTTTTGTTTGGGAGACGTATACCTTTTTATTTCAGTCACTGAGGTATAAAGTGTTTGTGAAGAACTAAACGTCTTAAAGATTGACAGAAGAAACACTGATTCTTCAGGACTTTGTTGGTTTACCGGATGCCATCTTCAGACTTTCAAAAAGGGTCGTGAAGCTTGATGGTCARTGTTTCAGTCTCACAATCCTGAAGCTGCGAGGTTGTGTCAGGAAGGGCTTAAAAAGCATTTCATGTGAGTTCACTCACCGTGGCAAACGCCTGAAGAAGGGAGCAGCCAAGGGATAAAACWACCACCATAAAGCTTTCAAAATATTTTCTCTAAAGAAACGGTCMCTGTTTCACCTTTCAGCTGAACGTCTTTTACTGTTCTTTTGCTTGGATTTAATCTCGTAATGCCTCCTCAGAAACATGGATCTGAAGTTGGCAGCTTCACATCTTAAAGACACAACTTCAGATATTTTTAAAAATTTTTCAGTTGAGTTTTATTAAGTTTGTTTTTCTTTTATGTTTTTTGCCAGGTTATTGAGCTCTATCAGGCCCGGCTCAGTAAAGAAAATTAACAGACTTCAGACACCCATAGCTGGCCTGGTAAGTCCTGTTATTTTGTACTTYACGTTAAAACTTCCTGCCAGTCATTGCAGTGGATCTGTGTTGTTTTCGTCTGTGCTGTTTGCTGTTTTCCAACTTTGTGAAGTTGTTATTTCTGCATGTTTTCTTTTTTGTGTCGGCGTATTTTTATCAGAAATTTACCCTTTTTTTCTGACTCTCTATCTGTTATCATTTATAAAGGTGGGACTCTTTATTACTGGTTTAGAAGCTTAGGAGAAAATATACAGTATGTTTAGTGTTTATTTTTTCTCTCTAAGCATATTTTAATTTTTTAAAACATTAATAAAATCCTCATCTGCATGGCTTCTTCTCTTAGAGGATCAGTTTACATACAGCTGTAGTTCTAAAGCTGCCATATGCACCAGAGATATAG